TSWTGTGTGGGGTGTTTCAGAAGGACGTCAGGACAGCGCCGACYTCAGATTGAGATTATCTTGGCCCAGTATCCCAGAATGTGTGGTGTGGCTCGAAGACAAACGAGCCTGTTGAATGTGACAAACTGCCGTCTTTGCTTCTTCCTGGCCGGCCATGTTTATTTCCTCAGAACTCACATTTGATCTGGAGAGGTCTCGCGAGATTTCCCATGTAAAATCTGATTGTTCAAGAGTGAAATCTGTTCCTGTGTGGTGTGTTTTTTGTTGTGTGGCTGTACACCAGTCACTGTTATATCAACCATTTTATTATCGTCGTGCATGGGGTTTCTCAGTCTTTGAAAATCAACTGACAATTTTAACTGAACAAGGCAGAACTCCTGTTTTCCAGTGTACCCAGAATGATTTGAGCTCAGGTTTATGTTCCTCTCATAGAGTTAAAAAAAAAACGAACACTACCCCTGCACATGCTCATTTGACTATTTGTGTGAAACCCTGCTAATAACAAACAATGACCCTGAAATGGACCCTGTTGTTAATGCTGCTGAATCATTTGACCGTCCTCAGGATGAGAAAACGACCCGAACCCGGGAACGTCCGCAGACCGTTCCGCTCAGAAAGCGACAGCACGAGTCCGGTGGCCGGCAGCACTGGGGGAGGAGGTGTGAGAGCAGCTTCTCTTCCTGGTGGGGCTCTGATAAAGGACACGGGAGACAAGCGTCCCGTCAGCGCGCACAACATCCTCAACTCAGTCACTCGTCACTCTTCGCTCAAAACCAAGGTACAAGACCTGCAGCGTCACAGACACGAGCGCGGTGTATTTAAACATATCTAACAGAGAATGTTCTGCATGTTTAGGTGGAGAGTCCACAGTTAAGGAAGACRACTCCTGCAGGACGCTCCAAGAGCTTCAGCAACCACAGACCACTGGACCCTGAGGTSATAGCCCAGGTGGAGTCCAGCTCACAGGTACAGCTCTGTTTGAAGGTGTCACTACAGCGTGTGGAGCTTTGGTTGACCTCGTGTCTCTAACTGCTGCAGGACATGCAGGACTCGGCTCTGAGTGACCTCAAGAAGTTTGAGAGACAAAGCTCCTCCAAACACACCCCCGACGTGGTCCTGGACACGCTGGAGCAGCTGAAAGGCATGAGCGGAGGAGGTGGAGGAGGAGGTGCCTCGGAGCCCTCCAGCCCCCTGCACTCCCGCCTGCTGCGGGACAGYGAGGGGGTGTCCTCGCACCTGCACCCCCTCCAGCGCAGCGCCTCCTCAGCCAGCGACGTGCCGTCCTCCTTCCGCCCTGCTAAGAGCCAGCTGCGGAGCCCGCTGCCCTCCGCCACGTCCCCSTCCCTGTCCTCCTCGTCTCTCTCCTCGTCCGTACCTTCCTTCAGGGAGCAGCGGCCCCCAGCCACGAGACCCAAGCCCGTGGTGTTCCCCAAGAGCGGGGGAGGCACCGGGAGCCCCGCCATGGGCTCCCCGACCTCCAACGTGCCGCCCACGCCGCCTCCTCCCCTGACACCCCACTCACACTCGCTCCCTCACGCTCCTCCTCCTCCACCTCCATCCCAGTCCAACGACAAGTCCTGCCCGGCTTAAGTCCCAGACACCAGAATATACGAAGTGTTTACTTTAATAAACTCCTACATTCTCACGTCTCTTCTAACAAGTGCTAAAAGCACTTACTTCACATAGGACCCAAAACTCACATGTAGCGTTTACTTCCTGGTGTGCAAAACAAATTCAGCAACAAGTCTGCCCTCGTGTGGCAGCTTTGCTTTACTACAACTCAGCCATCAAAAAGCAAAAAAGGCTTTTTTTTTGTTTTGTTTTTTTGCTTTTTGCCACCACAGAGATTCCTTATGTGAACTTAGGATTTAGGGAGGTTTAAAGATCAACGCCGCCCTCCTAACACTAGTTTTGGAGGTTTGAAATAGTGTTTGAGTGGAGGTGTAAAAGTGTTACTTGTCTTTACACAGATTTACACAAGGGAAAAAAAAAGAAGCACTGTTTGATAGATTTTTTTTTTAGTTTTGTATAATAGACATAACAGGTTTTCCTTTTTTTTCCTTCTTTCTAATAAACCAGTGACTAGCAGATTGAATGGAAGATTTCTGAGAACAGACTGTGAACTATTAAGCTCTCGTTTTGTAGAAACGAAACACACTGACTTGCTGTTTTAGAGCTGGTAGATGGGAGCGAGGAGTGGATCTTTGGTGTGATAAAAGAATGGAAAACTGGGCCAAATATCAGTGTAAGTCRTGATCAAGAGCTTTACTTCTTCTGTGTTTCATATGATTGTTTTCTTATTGTTCTTATTTTTTATTCTTGCTGTTCAGTGCCACAGTGGGAGCATAACGACACTTAAAAAGACCAACTGTAATTCGAATTTAAAGATAGCAATAAAAGCTGCTTTTTAATGCAACCGTGCTACACGTGTAGAGGACCACTGAAACCCAGCATTTTTATATGTCTTTATAGACTGCACACACACACATACACACATTCTCTCCTAACGTGTGTGTGTGAGTGGTGGTGTTTTTGAGGCAGCTAAACGCCTTTCAGGTTTTCCTTGCATGCTGGGACCGTACACAGCAACCACAGGCTGGTTAAAAACAACTTCAAACCCAACTGTAGCTCCGTTTAACTATATACTGCATAACTAACATTAAAAGAAAGGTTAATTACTCTAACTCTGTATGTRTATTTAATAATCATGATAACTGGAAGCATGCGACTGAGGATCCTTTTGAGCGTGTGTGTGGATAAAAGCACAACCAACCACCTCATCTTATGGTCGAAGTTCTGTTTTGTTTTTTGTTTTTTATCATCAGTTGACGCCAAGAATCGACACAAAATCAGATCAAATGTGGACTGTTACGTCTGTCTGTGTTCAAGTGTGTGTGTGTGTGTGTGTGTGTGTGTGTACAGATAAAGAATATGCACCTTCCTGAGCCCTGCCTGCATGGCATAAATAGATGCAAACTTAAAGGGATAGTTCAAATCTTTTTTTTAAAAGTGGAAGTTCTACAGAAACTAATGGAGCTGCTGTGACTCTTTAAATCTAGTCTGAGCGTCACCAGAACCAAAGTGGAGTGTTGCTACGTCAGAACCCTGTTTCAGGAGATTGAAACTACCGTTTTAAGGCAAGTGTTAGAAGATGCACAGGAAAGCATTCTGCAGCTTGTACACACTGGGCTCATGTGATTTAATATATGAAATGTTGTCTTTGGTCAATGTTGTCTCAACACTAGTAGAACAACTTTTTATTATTATTATTATTATTATTATTGGAAAGACAATGAGAAAACCAAAACTTCTGGTCTTTTCTGTCTGATGCGGTTTACTATTTTTCAAAGTGCAGTACGTGGAGGGGGCACTTAAAAGCACAGAGCATAAAACTTCATTGTTGTACTTTATTGTCTTGGGGGGCATGGACATGTTTTTTCCCATTGTATCTTCACGTCTTTGCCCCCTTTTTCCCTGAACATTTCCTTAAAGCCACAGCACAGTCTGCATTCCTGTAATAAACTGTTCATTGACAACTTTTCTTGAAATCTTTGTATACTTTTTTGGTGTATTTTATGTTGGGTTTTCTTTCTATTTTTTTCTTTTTTACCTCAATGTGACAACTGGAGGGACTGTGTGTGCTTGTGTGAAACAGAAACATGAATTTACCTTGTCAACACTTTCTCACACACACACACAGGAATATGGGTGGTTGGTGTGTTTGTCTTCATTGCAGGACCCTCCTTTATCTCAACTCAATCATTGTGCACTTGAACAACTTGGCCTGCATGTGGACTTAACTAACTGTGTGGGAATAATTATGTTAAAGAGCTGAATATTGTTAAATATGCATTTTGTGTCCATTTGGAAAAGACAGAACTAAAAAAAACAAAAGACTGTAATGTCAAATCTATTTATAGTTGTCTCTGTATTACTGGAGAATCCTGTGTTCAGATGTACTTTGTATATACAATGTTGTACATTACAGAGGTACATTTTTTTGGTACAATAACTGTACAGTAATAGCAATAGTAGTTTAATCAAATAGGCCTTATATAATTCTGTGTAGTTCTTGTAGTAGATCTGTTTTTTTTAATAAACATGGCTTGCTATACAAAAAAATGTTGATCCTTTGATGTTATGATTAGGTATTAAACTGTATGATTTACTAATAAACATTTGAGACATCAAAAATGCACAATGTGAATAAAGTACATACTGTATAGAACAAAAACAAGAAAAACTACATGTTACTAAATTATTGTCATTCAACTGATATTTGAGAATATGCTTCAAAAACTAAGTTTTCTAATTTATGAAATCAGTTTTAGCATCCCTGTGCAAAAGTGAATGTGCAAGAGTTTGCAGGTAAATGAGAGCAGCTAGACTTTAAYACACGGGGTTGCAAAAAATAATCTTTAAAGAGCCTATACTATCCTTCAAATATATATTGTCGAAGAAAGTATTTTATATTTAAAACTTGGAATAATACATGATTTTTACTAATTCTTTTGTCATTACACGCATGATTTCTTCTGAACCTGGCTTAGTACAAATGAAACAGGAAGTGACAGGAACTATAAGAAAACGATTTATAACGTTTTATACGATATATATA